CATTGAAGGGATTCCTGAGCAGGAGGAACATCCGAACCAAGGGGGAGAAGGGAAGCCCACAGCTCAATCAAAACCCCCTCCGATTTCCAAAGCTCAATCACTCCCAGTTTCTTCACTTGTTCCTCCGAAAGAACCCAAACCAACAACTATTTCTGCATCAGGTTTGAGTGCTCAAAGCAAAGACAAACAAATCATCGATGACAGTGATGAAAGTGAGGACCAAGAACCGATTGCCAGCCTACTGAGGAAACAGGCCAGAGAGAAGGAGCTTGATGAAAATGCTCGTATTGCCAGAGAGGCTGAAGCCAAAGAGAGGAAGATAAAGGAGGCTCATGATCTCCTTGAAAGCAGAAAAACTCTATTTCCTCCTTGGACTCTTGAAGAGCTTGTTAAAGAAGCTATCGAGTCCCCCTGCACTCTTTGGCTTGAACCAGTGATCTCCTTGGACCGGATTAATTCTATGTATTCCCAATTTGACATGCCCTTGACCAGAAAAGCTTTTATCTTCCATGCATTCACCCACATAGCTGAAGTTCCTCATCCTCACCCGAAGGTTGATAGGGAGCTTGTAGACTTCTATCTGAGGACAGCTCAACCTTAGTATTAGACGTGGAGCGCACAGAAGATCATCAATGTTCGGGTTCTCAAACCTGTTCGGGAGGGTAACTTCACCAATGTCAGATTCAAGGTCTTAAGGGGATCCGACAAAACCGAGCATTCCATCTCTCTAGCTGATCTTCCCAACTTAAACCCTCATGACTGGATAATCTTGCACAACATTCTTCTTGTTAATGAAGTGGAATATGGTCCGATCATAGATCATTTCAAGAGAATGTTGGTGTGTTATATTTTGGAGGTTGCTAAGCTGGATCAAGAAGTTGCAAATGTTCTCAGGAAGAAGCCCACTATCACTCCAGTCGGTTCCGCAAGTGATTTAAACAGAATGCAGATGGGAAAGATTGATCCAAAACGTAACTCGGTCATGTTCACCAGGGCAGAAGGTCAGAAATGCTTATTTGCTTTGGCTGACAAACATCTTTACACCACTTCCTGCTTGGAGCATGTTCTGGGTATCATCAATCGATGCAAACAGAACTCGGAGAGTGACAAGAAATACTTCAACGATATGATCAATTGGTACATTCACTTCCGACAAACACTTCTTGCTATAATTCCCTGCCTATTCAAAACTGTGAAGAAAGCCAGTGCCATAGGAGTAAGCAAGCTGGAGTGAGGTCTCGCCCCTCTTGACGCAAAGGGGGAGATTGTTGGGTATTTGGTGTTGCGTCTTGGGCTCGTCTCTTAGCCCATTTTGTATCCGGTATGGTCTTGTCCATCCGTGTCTTGTTTGTTAGGGTTTGTGTATTAATAGATGCTTGCATGCATCTTTTCGATGACTGATAGATCGTTTTTACGTGTAATTTAGAAGATCTCTTTTGTAACCCTAAAATCCTCTACAACGGAAGTTCTTAATCGAGCTCTGCTGAGGATTGAACGTTCTAATCATTCGACTCATTCAGATCCATACTTGAGTATTGTTTCATTGTTTTTACTTTCATTATCTACCTGTTACAAAGATCTAATCGATCAAAGAGTTTTTAAATCTCATCATAACACATTAAAATCAGTCTCCAATGTTTCAAACATTAAAATAAATTGAATAGTATTAGGGACTTATTATTGGCCCTTTGGGGTCATTAAAATCAATCTCTAATGTTTCAAACATTAAAATAAATTGAATAGTATTGGGGACTTATTATTGGCCCTTTGGGGTCGTTCAAGGATCTAAACTTTACTTGAGAATCCTCAAAATACTTAAAACTGTTATTCGAAAATTTAATCACCTAATGTTTAAGGTTTTTAGTTTATTTTATAGTATATACCTATGATCATTGATTCCATAGCAAATTCTATAACAGCATAGCTATAGATTTTGAATTTGTAACAAATGTCGTAGCAATTAGCTACAGACTTCGATTTTGTAGCAAAATAACTACATATTTTTATTCTATAACAATTTCTGTAGCAAAATAGCTACAAACTTTGATCCGTCATAAATTTTTTTAGCAAAATACCTACAACTTATAATTCCCTAAAAAATTTGTAGCACTCTAGCTATGGACTCCGATTACGCATCAAAATTTTGTAGTTATTCAAATATTAGCCACAAAACGTAATTCCGAAGCTAATTCCATAGCAAATATACCTACGTCTAACTATTCCATAGCATAGTCCCTAGTAGAATAGCTATAGTTTTAATATCATAGCAAAAATCCATAGCAATTTACATATTAGCTACGAAATGTAATTCTACAGCAAATTTTATAGCAACACAGCAACGACAAGCCATTATGTAGCATATTTCATAGTAGAACCACTACGGATTGTACTTCTATAGCAATTCTCCGTAGTTATTTCAACTTTTTCTTGTAGTGGCTTGAGCAACGAGGTGGGTCTTGCGACGTTCAATCGAGCCATGCACCAGGTATTTGGTGCGAAACAACCATTTGCACCCATAACATTTGAGTCGGGGGGTCGTGGAACTAAAGACCAGGTGTGGTTATGCTGTGGAGCACACATGGCATCATACCATTTCAAATCATGCATAGTATTAGAATAAGAAGTAGGATCCCAAGTAGAAAGTAGGATCCCGAGTAGCAAATAGGGTTGAGAAGAGACTATATTTGGAATAGGTGGTTGCACCGGGTCAGATGTCGGTAAAGATAGTGGCAACATCGGGTGCATCAGGTGGAGTTTCCATATGTGGCATAGTGTTCGGATTGGTGTGGCGGAGTCATCGCAAATCTCATAGACAAGCGATCTTTGGGAATAGGAGCAGGTGTCGGTGGATGAGGAGCAGACACCGGAAAATCACCTGAGTTTAGAGGAACAGTTGGCAAGAATGAGTGCAATGGTAAGGTGGTGAGAGGTGCATCCTTAGTAGAAGAACCAAATGGAAAACACGACTCCTCAAACCGGGTATGAAGAGTGATAAAAATACAAGACGATACTGGATCGAGGCATTGGTAGCTTTTGTATTGCGAGTTGTACTCAATAAAAGCACACGGAATGCTCCATGGAGATAGTTTGTGTTCTGAGTAGTCATGTAAATAAGAGTACACCCTAAACCCTAACGGTCGATAATTCGCATATGAGGGTACTCGTGCAAATAAAACTTCAAACGGTGACCACATGGAAAGCACCTTCGAGGGAAGTCGATTGATGATGTGAACCATAGAGTTAAAAGCATAAACCCAATAAGATGTCGGAATGTGTACGTGAAACATCATAGCAAGCACAGTCTATCAACAATGTGGCGATGATTACGTTCAACCCGCCCGTTTTGTTGCGGGGTATATAGATACGAAATTTGATGAAATATGATATGATGGTTTAGTAATGTTTTAATATTGTGATTTAAAATTTATGTACCTGTATCACTTTGAAAAACCTTAATGTTTGATGAAAATTGATTATGCACAAATTTAATAAACATTGCAAAAATAACATGGAAGTCTGATTTGGACTTGAGTGGGTATAGTCACGTGAATCAAGAAAAATCATCCACAAATATCATATAATAGTGATAGGAGTTAACCGGGTGACAGGCCCCAAAGGTCACAATGGACTAAGGCAAATACATGTAAAGCATGTTTATTATTATTATCAAATATTATTATCAAGTGGCAAACCATGAAAACGTCTACCATGAATGTCCAAGTTTATTCAAAACAGAAATAGCACATGCCCCAATTTAGTTGATGGTTAAGCAATTTTATTAAATAAATGTATTGCATACATATGAATTGCATTAATAAATAGAGTTGTCGCATGTTGTCTTGCGGCGGAGATTACAATATATGAATATAAAATTGTATTCGAAAAATGTCAAAAAAGGCCACACATTGACATTATTTTTATATCTATCTTCTTAATTTACAAGTGGAAAAAACAACTATAATATATTAATTAACATGAAGCTTAATAATAAAACGCGCCTAATACGTACTGTTAATTAACCAATCTAAATGACGTGAAAAAGAAAGATAAAATCGTTATTTCGTTAGGCAAATATGTAACTTTCCAGTGTATATTAATGTTGTCAAACATATTTAAGACATTTGTGATAAAAAACTATAATAACACAAAAAATCTA